TATATATATATATATATATATATATATATATATATATATATATATATATATATATATATATATATATATATATATATATATATACAAAATTGCAAAATTTGAAAGGCCTTTCGTTTTGCTATATCACGAAATTGTGATAAAAAAATGAATGGTTGGTTATAGAAAGTTTTACGTAATATATTAGTTGGAAGATAAGCGGAAGTATCGCTTTTTCTTACAAACAGTGCGAATCTTCATGCATTGGTAATATTGGAAAACTTTTAGTTTATGACCATCTCTGCATTAGATGATCGAGCCGAATTCAAAATTTAAATATTTGGTAGTCTAACATTTAATTTTCATCATTCTAGTAATGTATTGATAAGGAAGTCTTCTAAAGAAATTGTTTCTCATATAATACTAAAAAGTCACAGTCAATGGTACCATAGATGTTGTGAGGACTAAAATTTTGGGGGAAGCTTCAATTTTTGTAGAAAAAAGCTAGTATGGAAAACAGGAAAGTGAGATAATTTTAAGATACCACAACTTAAGCGAGAGAACATATGACATATGAATGATACTATGAGAAGCAAAACTTAACAACAAACAATCGTTTATCATGCCATATGATTCAAATCATCGATTAGGCAAATGGATTAAGCTAGTCCACGTGTACATGTATGTAACACAATGCAATCAGGCATGCATGAAGGCTTGAAAGAAAAGTTTTTTGGATAGAACAATCCAATTGTGATAAGAAATCTGTTTTTATTCCCAACCAACTACTCGTATCATTTCAATAATCTCAAAACAAGCACATATCACTGTATCCATCCTCGATCCGTCATTTTCACCACAATTAGAATACGAATAGAGCGCCTCTCCATTGCAAAATAAAAGCTGCTGATGACAAGTGCAGTTGTCCCTCGCAATTCAAATGGTATGGCACTTTCTTGCACATAAGCAAACACAGCCACTTAATTTTCTCCGATGGTGGCGCACTTTTCATCCACAGTTGTTTCCACCACCCTATTTATTATCAGGAAAAGCGCTGTGCTCAACGACGATTATATATCCGTTCAACTTCCCGGTAAACTAGCACAAATTCGGTATTCGACCAATACTTTATTAGCCATTGGCAGTTTATCAAAAACGAAGATCGGGGAGTCCATATTCTAAACTTAAATTTCAAGTAATTCGAAATTAACATCGAATACGTATAACGTTGTCTTCAAAGGAAGAAATCAGATCGTATCATTTCGGTACAAATTGAAGTACCAAATTCACTGTAGTGTTTCATGTTGTTCTATCTAGGCAGCCATGAATCGAAAAATATGAAAAGGAAAATTTGGGCTCTTAAAACAAACCCCAACCGTATTCAAACAACCACACACATCACACAGCGGCAAGCTAACACCGCCTCCTACGTAAGGTTGCGATAGTAAACATGTCATAATGGAGAAAGCATCAAACTCATCCGGCGAAACAAACTTATGCCGAATGCAGGAATCGAACCTGCGGCCTTCTGTTTACAAGACAGACGCTCTAACCACTGAGCTAATCCGGCTCTGGATGTATCCACTCTTCTCGCTCAAGAGGAAGTTAACTCTAAGAAATTTTTCAATATTATTTTCTGATATCTTCAGCAACTTAACTAGCTTATATTTAGATGAATCAAAACCTACTGCGTGTATTGTGTGGTAATTTGCATATTGCATGTCATACATATGTAAAACATTATATGTATATTACTTGAAGTCGTTATCCTTGGTACTGTTTTTTCATGTGATTTTTGTTTGGTTTAGTAATTAGACCAGTCTTAATATAATTTGCACTTTTTGTAGTTTGTTTTGCATGGTTGTTTTCCAGATTGACCAGCTTAACCTGGTCATTATCTATCTCTTGATTATTTGGGTTTATTTATTTGTATTGTTTTTTAGTTGTATTCGTTCAATTTGCTTGATTTTCCCACTTTTAATTATCATCTAGCTGTAACTGCTTTAAACATAATTAGTTAATTTATTATGGATGGCAGAGAAGTGAATATTGATAGTGAAGCACTCTAAAATCTTCTTTTTTTCATATTATAGCCCTACAGTTGATAATGAAAAAAAGAAACTTTGCAGCAAAAAAAGTATTGTAAAAATTATAAGCTGGTATTTTCTATTCATTGAATACCGATCAAGTTGGAAAGTCGGATGTTTAATGGACCGAATATCAAGTTTGAAAATTCCCAATATTAATTAGCAACTATGCTTTATAGTGAATGAGGTCAAAAGTTCCCGCATCTCTTGAAGAAAGAATATATCAAACAATTCATCATTTTCAGCTTCGTATCATCCCATCTTCGGTCCTCAAGTAAATTTTTCAAAGGCTGAAGTGAAAACCCCATTTTACATAGAATGACTGAGGCATCAGTGATACGTAAATTATGCATAGTTAAGTTTTTAGACTTGAAACGAGACGTAAAGAGGTAGTAGCAGCAAGGGTTGTTACTTTTAATCTTGGTATTTAAAGTATTTTAAAGATTGAAAATGAAGTATGTTCAAACTGAGCTGTAGATTGATCGTGCCAAGTGCTTTGAAACCGGGACATTTATCAGTAATTGGTTTTTTTGTTCCAGCAGATCTCTATTTGGCCATTCCTTCACGGTACTGAGGAGAAGATCAGCTATTTTAATTTTAACGTATACGATTATAGCTTTCGAACAATGCTGATGAATTATGGTATTTTCTTTTTGAGTGGTACAAGTTACAATTTACAGCTTCAATTCAAATAGCTATTTTGCTCGATGAATTTTTTTAATTCCTGCAAAAATAATGGCTTATCAGATGAATTTGAAAAATGTTGTTCACTAAGTTAAGTGACTATTTAAAACTATAAGCAAAAAATATAAACAGGATAAGAAGCAATGCTAACAAACTCCTCTTATCAATAATAATAAGAGTTTTATCTCAAGCAATTTTGTCAATTTCAGCTATTTAACTTTTGTCGTGGATTTTTTTCTTGTGATGGTTTGTTGAAGTTTAGAACAGTATAGGTTTCACTTGATGACATCCAATCTTTCCAATGTTTTATTTGGGGCTCCAAAAAATGCACATTAGTCATATTTGACGAAAGATATCTTCAGGTCTCTGCAAAAAAGAAGTTCAAATTAGTGTATTGAGTGAGGAAAAACATATAGGATAGTAAAAGTGGTAAATTAGAAGAAGAGACAAAGAATGGAAACAAGTTACCGATCTAATTAAAAATAGTGGCTTTATTGAAATGTTGTATTTTTGAATTCTGCTAAAAAAGTGATAGAAAAAGTTATCGTACAAATTTTTCAATTCATATTTTTTATGTGGAATTGCATTTACAAATCATGTTTTTAAAAGTTTTTTTAAAAAAAAACTTTGAAAACTTAGT